TCACTTTCAATGAATGCTTTTTCGTTTGACGGAAAAAGCCCTAATCTAGCTTTTGTTAAGGCTAGCACCCCAGCGCGAAGCTCCGGGTAGTAAAGTTCAGCCTTTTTAAAGTGCCGAGTTGTACCTTTCTCTCCGAGTAGGTACGTGTAGGTCTCAAGCGCAGTATTCTTATTAAAGAATTCTTCGTGCCAGAGGTGGAGTTGAAGTTGCCTTCTCTCCTCTTTAATGTGATCAGGTAGCTTCTTTTTATATAATTCTTCTTGAATTAAGAGCGACTTGATCATTGAAGGCTCTAATTTAGGGCCCTCGACATCATCTGGTGAGGATGACATCTTATTAATCTTTGCCTTAGCTTTTTTGACTACGGCATGTGTAATGGCACTCCAGGTTTGTTTAGTACCTGCTTTGTGCGTGTCAGTCAAGATTACTCTTGCATCTGTCTTTAATTCTGACGCCTTTGCAAAGATGCGGTGACGTGCAGTTGCGCAAGCTACTTCAATGGTAGGTATGCCTAATTCCCAGGAAACTTGTGCATAGTTGACCTTTGCATGTTTCCTTGGGATTTCCAGAACCATTCTCAGGGCCCGGTTAATCTCTTCTTGAATCGGCGCAGTGCGCTCCTTGTTCATTCCAAACCATTCTCCACCGTACAACGCGGTTGGGATGACATAGGTTTTCATCAAGAAGATTTTTTCAGTGATAGGTTTGCGCCTATCTGTGAGGAAGCAGGTAAACTGGTTGACTCTTTGCCTCACCTTTGCAGCTACAGTCCGGGCATATATGGTTTCCTCATCATAACCTATTCCCAAGGAGTCACCAATAGGGATTCCGAGGTATACGTATGATCTTTCCGCATATACTTTTCCGTCTGTAAGGGAGAAATGTCTTTTCTCGACTTCTCCGTCTAATGGTGTAGGAGCTCCGTACGTTTTGTAGAAGAGTTCCCTTTTGAGGGGGTCCTCCTCACCGTACATCACAACTGCACATTTAGCGTGCCCAATTTTCAGGGTTTGCCATTTGATCACCCATTCAGAAATGATTCGACATCCTTCCTTGAGATCCTCAATAGAGTCAAAGAATGCTGCGGCATCATCTGCGTACAACTTTCCTTTATCCGTGAAGTTCCCTCCAGCTGTCTTGATCCCAGGTACTACGACTCCGGGCAACTTTTTGAACAGGTCATTTATAAAAATGATGAATAGAAGAGGGGAAAGGGGGCAACCCTCCTTTGTGCCAACTTCCATGGAGTAGCTTGGTGAGAGCTCATCTCCTGTACGGATTCTGAACTCGCTATTTTCATAAGCAGCGTTCAAGAAACCAATGACATTTTCGGGAATCCCAAGATGTCTGAGCTTTTTCCATAGTGCTTCATGTGGCACGCTGGGAAATGCTTTTTGAAAATCGATGAAGAGTGCATATGTCTTTTTACCAACATTTGCTCTTCTACGAACAACTTCTGTTAAACAGATGAATTGTGAAATCCCTTCTTCATTTCTCCTAAAACCACCTTGATCCTCGGAGAAGAAATCCTTTTCATTAAGAATACGGCTCATTCGATCCTCCAAGATGGTCATAGTCAATTTGTTAAAGGCAGTCGAGAGTGTTATACCTCTTCGATTGGTTAATTCAACCGGATCTTTATTCGGTTTGGATAATGAGACAACCACATTTTTATTATCAGCCGCGGCCGGGCGGCCCATTTCTAGCGACTTGTTAATAATTAGCAATGCGTATTGTCCTGCAGGCGTCACCATTTTAGAAAAGATGTCTTTAATAGGCACCGGATGGTAGACGTGATCCAAAGGCTGGTAGAATGTGCCTGCCTTTGTCTTCACCTGCTCTAATTTTCCTGACGTGACCTTGACCGGGACAAGCAGATTTTGTGCATCCCATTTCCATGAGACAACGCCATCTGGACCTCGGTAGATCTCCGCCGGACTCTCAGTGTTTGAGAATAATTTCTTAAGAAGTTCTTTCCGCGAGAGGTCCTTGGAAGTATGTTGGTCAAGCGCCGCATTTAGCATCCCAACAAACTGTCCTCGCTCATGCTTCAAGATCTCCTTGAAGAGGCTTGGGGGGAGGTTATCGTTACCACAAGCTGCATTAGGGTTCAGTCTGCTGCAAGCTGACAAAAACTCCTGTGGGCTGACTTCAGACCCAATAATGCCGCAATCAAGAGGTTCATCCTCACAAGTGAGGTTCTCCCAAAAGACGGGGTCCTTGGAAACTTTTGTAGAATCCAAAGCTAATCGACTAAAGTGTTCATACTCTGCATGGTTGATGTCACTTTCAGTCACACATAATGTCCCTTTTGCATTCATGCATGGGATTGGTTGGCTTTTACGCTTCCCAAAATGATCAGGTAATCTACGCTTGATTTCCTTGTGGTATTCAAGCATGTCATGACCTCTTAGTAGCTCGACGGCTTTTTGCTGGGTTTGAGCTTTTTGCTCTTTCTCAAACTTGCGGATAGCCACCGAAGCACGTCGGGAGGCTTCCTCAGCAATTCTAGCGCGTCTAATCAGTTCGGAGACTGGAGTAGCTACCTTATTGACTTGAAGATATTTATCTTTAGCTTTTCGAGCTGCACTCAAAAGTCTAGAAATCTGACGGGGGTAGTGAGACTTGCGTCCTACTGCACCAGTCTTAAGAATGCCAATGTCTTCTGCTGCTTTCTCAAGGCACTGTTGATAATTATCCCGCATCTCATCTAATTCACTTGTTTCGTTGAAACCCTCCCAAGCATCATTAACTAGAAGCTCGAAGGAGTTTCCCTTCAACAAGTTTTTGTCCCAAAATTTCTTTGGGGACTTAATCGACTCGGAACGTGAGTTCTTTGTCCGCAGTTTCATCCGAATTGCTGCATGATCAGAAAGTCCATTATAAGATAATGACATCTCTCTCTGTACCTTGACATTAGATGTCAAGTCACGTAAAGAGGACGAGATTACCCAATGATCTATTCCATTGCGTTTTCCTTTTCGGGGAAGACGCGTTAAGTGTGAACCAGTACAAGGCTTTACAGTCATCTGACCATTGGTTTTGCGCATTGCCAGCGTACTAAGAACACTTTTTGCCATATTGAAGTCGCCTCCTATAGCAATTTTACATTCTGGGTCTTTGTCCAAGAGTTTGTTAACAATCTCCCAAACTGGCAAGAGTTGAGTTTTTCGCATCCTGCCGTGGTTAGACCCAGACTGAAGATACACCCCAAAGATATGCCAAGCTGACTTATCGTCGAGTCCGGTGACTACTAGATGCATGATGTTCGGAACACCGGTTGGCTTCTCGTAAGCGCCAATATCGTCTCTTACCATCATACAAAGCCCCCGGAACCCAGGTTTAGCTGGGTGAGTATATGAACGGAAGTTTTTAATTTTCGGTTCGTAATTCTCTACTTTACGTAGATGTTCCCCTAGCACTATAACTGCCGCGTTTGAGCGGTTGGCAAGGCTCTCTAATGCCATGCTTTTGTAATCAAAGCCATTAGAGTTCCAAGCAACTAGTGCAGGGTCACGATAATCAACGCGTGGTTCACAAGCTGGAGCCAGTGGTCTAGGTGCAACTGCGTCTCTCCAGTCCTTGGCAAGACAAACTCGCCAAGCCTTCACAGAGAAACAGTCAGACTTAGGCTGACCCTCAACCCAAAATGCTCGAGTCTTGCGGGACATCAAGGTGCACGTTTGTGACTTCCTATCTTCGTAGGTAAGTTCTAATAATGGTGCCAGACCGTTGGCCAAGTCTGGGGAAACCCAGACATTATACCTAAGTCTATGAAAGGGCTGACGCACTTTCAGCACTGCGCGGACGTTTTCAGTCTGAGCAATATCAAGGCGGGCTTTGAGAAATGTCCAGATATCAACGGGAGTAATATCCGAAGTCACATTGTGAACCCCAAATAAAACAGCGTCTTTAAGCAAGTTCTTTGCTTTAATCTGGTTAGATCCCTTCCCAAAAGTAATGTCACACTCCCTCAGCCAGTTGTATGTACGAGTTGCTTCTGGAGTAATCCGTACATTTGTGACCGGGTTGGTGAAAGGAAGAAGGTTCATAGGTAACTTCTCCTGTTGATCGACAGGTGTGACCTGTCTACTGTTAGACTTTACGTTGACAGTGTTAATGTGTATGTGGTGACCCAAAGCTGGTGCCTGCATACTTGGTGCCGAAGACTCTGAGGCACTTGCGGACATGAATTGTTCATCATCAACATTACTGTGATTGGAACTTGATGGTTCATTAGAAGAACTGCCAAATGGAATATAGCTTGATCCGGCCGATTTGGAGCAATCAGAGTCTGAACTAATTACTTGAACAGAATCCGACCCTATCGACTGCACACTTGGTGACCCAATGTTCGGAACGCGTCCTGAGTGTTCAAAGAGAGAATCCTCTGGCTCTTGCGAGTCGGAGTCCTCTTCCTCAGAGACCACACAGAACTTGCCAATTCGCCCAGAAGTAGTTAAGCCTTTTGGAATGAGAGGTATAACCATCTCATCGGAAGCCGTTACTTTGGATGGCGCCGCACAGTAAACTGTGTTAGGCATAATCGGAGGACAAGTAAAGGTGAACGGAATAGGGTTTTGGCCCTGTGTTTCCGCTCGATACTGTTCCTCTAGTCTGATTCTTTTGTGAGAAGGACCAGCATTAATCACTTCTATAAGTTTTCGCTTATTCGAAGTCAAGGCGGTTTGGTGACGACCCTTCTTTGCTAAAGAGGGGAGGTACTCGCCGTAAGGGTCCCGTTTTGAAGGCTTGCGCTTTCCAATAACAGGATCACAGTAAAAGCTGGAAACTTTGACTGTCTTTGCATTAGTGGAACTAGTAATATTCTCCGATGGCGAATCCCGTCCAGTACAATCCGCATCTGACGTGGAACTAGTAATGGCCCCAGATGATGAACCCCGTCCAGAACAATTCACATCTGCCTCTAAGGAAACCGAGGAAACCCTATTAACCATAGAGCTCGAGGAGCACTCTACGTATCCTTCCCTGCAGGACAT